TCCAGATTATGGGCATGCTCTGGACCCTGACCGTGCAAGTGTGTCTAAATGGCTGGCTGTTGAAGCACCCCCGGGAACCAGGTATATGCAAGATATTGCAGGAAGACGATTCCAGGGGATCTGACCCAGTTACAACCAGAAAAGAGGAAAATCCAGAACTGTGTTTATTGGGGAAATATCCCACCCCATTTCAGACACACATTCCTCAAAGGGATTTCCTTTGCAGTTTTATGACTGTTTTCCTACACTATTACTGCTGAGGAGAGACTGTGAGGATTAGCTGTTATCGTGTGGTACTAAAATTTATGACAAAACATGTTATCATCTGCATAAACATTTGCTGATACAGAATGCTGAAAATGCCTCTCTCCCCTTTTTGCATTTTTCAAGTTACTCGCCTGAAGATCCTGAGGTTCTAGACTGCACCGTATGGGGTTTCTGGTCTGATTCAGCCACTGCTAGAAGGATGCACACAGTGCTCCCTCCACCTTCTGACAACCAACTACTCCAAGTGCAAAGGGCCCTGCCCCAGGTCCCAGCCCCGCACCCCATTGCAGGCTACTTCTCTGTAGCAAGCAGAAGGTTCATATGCTGCAGCACAACAGTTCCCACACTGAGCTGTGTAACCCAAGCCCTACCCACCCTCATTCAGCAATGGGATCTCTCAGCCACGATGGGCATGCCTTGTGGCCAATCACTGTCTTGCACTTCCTGGAAGGGGGGTTCACAGTCTGTTTTCATTCATTGCCATTTTCTTTAGCAAAACTGCACAGTCTGTAGAAGTCGAAAGGACTACAAAGACCTCAGGCGATCGATCAAAAACGATCCCAACAAGCTGGAAAGCAGTGGGCACAGTGAAACATTTAACAGCATTTCAGAAAGAAAAACTGTAAAGTGTTATACATAGGAAAAATAAACTTTGAACACAGATTTGAGATTGTGGGGTACTTTGTAATATTTTTATAACTCACTGAAGGGGTAACATTTACCATCAGGGCCAATTAATCTAGACACTGTTTGAATGTCTCCATTTATTTTGCCATGTTTGCACAGAATCTCCTTGTGATTAATACAGACCTCTGTTTTTCCTTGCACTTTCACTGACAAATCTGATAAACATTTAATAACAATAGCAACAAAAGGTGTGAGGGAATGAAGGAAGCTGGCCAAGATTTTGCTATTTCCAGGTTTTTGGATGGGAATGTTTGCAAACAAGGTTTACTGTAGAACAAAGTTTGAGTCCAGTGGCACCTTTAAGGCCAACGGGAAAGCTTACACCCGGAATCAAACTTTGTCAGTCTTGAAGGGGCCACTGGACTCAAAACGTTGTTCTGTTGCTTCAGACCAACGAAATCTGTTTCTCAGACAGTGTTGTAAAAGTCAGCAATCTTATCCAATAAATACTGTTAGGCTGCCCCTGTGAAACACTCTTGAGCCTGAGCAACCAAAATGAAAAAGTCTACAACAGTGATCCCATTCCGATAACATTTTAGAACTTCTCCCACCAAGAATGGTCAGACAAGGAAAATGGGGTGGGGAACACTTCAACAAAGCTTCACTTGAAGCGCTGGGTATTTGTATTTATTATTATTATAAGCTCACCAGCCAAGGATTTAATAAAAATAATAAATAAATAAATTAAACTAATTGGTTTGGAGGTAAAGGTAAAGGTTCCCTTGCTCGAAAGCCAGTCGAGCGACTCTAGGGTTGCGGTGCTCATCTCCGTTTCAAAGCCGAAGAGCCAGCGCTGTCTGAAGACATTTCCGTGGTCATGTGGCCGGCATGACTAAACACCAAGGCACACGGAACGCTGAAGTGGTACCTATTTATCTACTTGCAATTTCTTGCTTTCGAACTGCTAGGTTGGCAGAAAATTGGTTTGGAAGGTATTTATTAATTTATTATCCGTGCCAGCTAGCTTCTGGGGTCACTGCTTGCTTTGGCTGAGTAGTGCCATCTGTGAGGAAGCTCAGTCTTTTCAGGGGTGCCTCCTCTCCTCTCCTCTCCCCTACCCAAGCCAATGCCCTTCACCACAAGCCCTTCCGGAATCAAGGAGGCTTACTGGATTCCCCAGAATCAGGCCCCACAGCCTAATTTAAAAAAAAAAGAAAGGAAGAAAAAAATAATTCTGGGCACTCCATTCCCAGAGTTCCTAGCAGCTCTGGGATTCTTGTGGTCTGCTACTTGCTTTGAAACCAGGCCAGTGAGATGATCTTGAGAGGAGTCACTGCTTGCTTTGGCTAACTGCTTGCCTTTTCTTCAACAGTAATGGAGAAAGCCTTACCCAGCAACTTAGTTTACTTTGTCCCTCTTCTTTATAGGGTAGCTGTTTTTGTTATGCTTTCAATGATGCTTCATATTTCTCCCTGCCATGACCTGGATAACCCAGGCTAGCCTTATCTTGTCAGAAGCTAAACAGGGTCAGCCCTGACTAGCATTTGGATGGGAGATCTTCAAGAAATACCAGGGTTGTGATGTGTGGCCAGACAATGGCAAGCCACCTCTGAATGTCTCTTGCCTTGAAAACCCTACAGGGTCACTATAAGTCAGCTGTGACTTTGGGGCAAAGGGAAAAAAATATTCCCACTCTTTTCACACTTTGAGAAAAACTCATTTGAGTCACCTTTTTATCTCCATTTCCCCAGTTCAATGAAACAAACTTTCCAACTTACAGTTTGGACTTATGCCACAACTCTTTGCCCACTTAACTGAGAATGAACCCCACTGAACAAAGTAGAACTTACTTCTGAGTATACACATTTAGGTGAAGAGAGTGTTCCTAAGCAGCTCTACTCAGAATCCTACTCAGGTCTCTTTAATGGGGCTTACTTCCAGGCAGGGCTCTTTTTGTAGAAAAAGCCCAGCAGGAACCCATTAGCCTAATAGGCCACACCCACCAGCAAAACTCATTAGCATATTAGGCCACACCCTGACAGCACTGCTCATTAGCACATTAGGCCACACCCCCATGTTACCAGAAGTGTGGTGATCCAGCCACACCCACCTTTCCCTTTTTATTCTGTTTACCTTGTTTGTTGTCAAAACCCAGGGCTTTTTTGTAGCAGGAACTCCTTTGCATGTTAGGCCACACACCCCTAGTGTAGCCAATCCTAATGAGTTTCTGCTATTGGGTGTGGCCTATTATGCTAATGAGCTCCTGCTGGGTGTGGCCAAAAACATGGCAAACAGATGAACAGCAATATAGTGACAAAAGTTGGATTTCATGTTAGTTAAAATGGGGTGACATGGAACAATTTGGAAGATTCTGAGAAGTGTGACATTTTATAGATGATCCCAAATCTCCCTCTTCCTCTTTCTGGACCCACAACCAGTTAGTGCCATTTTATTTTCACCAACTTTGATAGATTACTTGGATTGAAGTCCAGTTTATAGATTTCCTTGCATGGTTGTTAATTCACAAGGTGCTTGTATGGTATTCAGAGGAATTCAGGTCAGCCTCAGTTCTGCCAAATGATAGGATCTACACAGATGGTTCTCTGAGATGGACAAGTAGGCCCTTTTACGGTTCTATTGAAGAGTCACTTAAAATGAGAATTTTAGTATTAAAATAATTTTAGTTCTACAGAAGCCACTGGGACATAGTTCTCTGGTAAATGTATGTCATTCAGCCACTGAAGCATCCCACAATGACTTTGCATGTATGAATGAGCCATTAAGAACTACCACTGAGTACACTGAAAGCAAACTTCTGACCCTTTACATGACTTATCTTCATTTACATTCAAACTTTTAAGTGACTTAAGTGTTACGCACTGGATTTTTAAAAGGATTCATTACTGATAGGACTGTGTCTATGTACAACTGACACAGCTTGGTGCTATGTTATGATTTTCTTTACAACCAAATTTCCCATTTTAAAAAAGTGAAGTAGCACTTTGCTATTAAACTATATAATGTCCCCTCGTAATTTTGCAAAAAATTTTTGCAGCCCAGCACCTTGACTCGGCAGAAAGTCCCACCGTATTCCTTTTCAAGAATTCTTAGGAACACAACCTCAATTCGATAACTCATCTTAAAAAAAAAAAAGACTAACAAATGTTAAAGTTTGCTCTTCTCAAACCTACGGATATCGATTACATTTTCAGAGAGCACCAGAGCACCAAGGCTTTGATCAAATATGTTTAACGCACGGTGAAAACATTACCCGACAAAGACTTGCCTGTAAAATACCAATTTATTTTAATACTTAAAAAAACACAAATAAATCCAGTGATAAATGTTCATTATCAAGAATCAGCATAAAGTGCCACATAGCAAGAACTTTAACAAAAAAAAAACATATTGGAATGTCTCAATTCTTTACACTGCTTAGGAAACAAAACAACTTCAGATAAAGCTCTCAGGTTGAGATTTGTCACCCCCACCCCCCAATCCACTCATTCCCCAATCAGGACACACACTCACATGGAAGGACTACTAAAGCCACGCTGTGCATAGCAGTCGGCTTTGATTTATTGCTATGTACCCGCCTTTCACCCTTCCCACCTTGGGTGTTTTGTTTTTGTTTAAATAAATCCACAAATCACAAACCACCTCTCAAGGCACCAGAGTACAAACAAACAAACAAGCAAGCAAACAGAAATGCCAGGGTGCTTGCCGGAAGTGTGCACAAAGGACACCCGCCGAAAGATTTGTAGTGGGCCACAGGATCTGTGTGCAGGACGGTTGTTCAGAATGTTGCCTTTTAAAAGACACAGAATGTATTCAGTGGCCTTCCGTCTGTCTCAACAGTGCCTGCAATGTAAAGCCGGTTTTCTTTAAAGATCTTCTAAAAAATTTTCCTCATCTGAAGTGTATAAACTTTTAAACAGACACACACGAAAGGATAAAACTAAAAAAAAAAATTAAAAGCAATACTTCTGGAAGCAAGTTTGGAGTTGTTCGTGTCTTAACGGAAGATTCCTCTCCAACACTTGAGCACCACCTTTTGACATAAAGTTTATCAAAGCGATGCAAGATTCACACTCTTCTGTGTAACTCGGAAGCAAATCAGTGTTATTGCTCAGGGTGTAGAAAAGCTGGCTGTATTTTGTGTGCATTTGGTTTTCTTTTTTAAGCAATTAAATTAATGTTCAGTGTGTTCCCCTTTGTCTTTGGTATGAATTTGACTAAAAAGTCAGAAAGGAGAATGAAGTTCTTAGGGACTGGAAGCTTTAACACTTGATTTTGGAAGGTTTAAGCTCTTTTACTTGTGTGTGCAGTGTCTTGTGAACAGCAAGAGTCCTGGATTGGCAAAATCCTTTCCCACATTCTTGACATTTAAATGGCTTTTCTTTAGAGTGGATATATCTGGGGAGAGAAAATAAGAGAGACATATTTGTGAAAAAGTGCATACTTGGCCACATGGCCTCTCGTGTTAAAAAATGACATGTCTCAACTTCTTGGAACTCAAAAGCGGGGGTCAAAGTAGCAATGAAAGTTCCTCAAAAGGAAGCCTTGATACATGAAAGCAAAATATAATACCTATGAATTTAGACATGGAAGAACCTTGCTGTTGTGGTTCCCAACCTCCAAAATTGCATTGCTCCTCCAGATGACAGAGATCAATTCCCCTGGAGAAAATGGCAGTGACTGTCTAGCATTCTACCCAACTGAGGTTCTTCACCTCCCTTCCCCAGGCTCCATCCCTGAATCGCCAGGAATTTCCCAAACAGGAGTTGACAATCCTATTTAGTATACTCACAACCCACTGCGTGCTCCTGGGGTTACAGTGTCTGCAAGTTGCTCATATACACTCCAATGACTATGTTCCATGTGCAAAGCAAGGTACACTTGGGGCTGTACCCTGCTTTTAAGCAAATGGGCTAGAGGAGAGTTCAAAATGCACCACTGGAGCTTTTATATGCCCAGGGAAGATAGCTGGATGGAAGCACTCAGGTGCAAGCAAGCACACTGTTACATCTTTATGACTGGGGTGAGAGTCCCACCCAGGTTGCCCTTTTGTTGGAAGAATGCAAAGACAAGTTCAATGCTCCCTCTAAGCTGTGGGATCTTGTGAGCAAAAATCCTACTTTGTGAGCTACTGGCATTAATGTTGTGAGTGAGCGATTTGGCTACTGCATAAATTCGTTTGCTCTGGAGCCCCATCCTTCCTGAGCTAAGACAAAAATGTGTGAGTCGGAGGCTAAAAAACTGTGAGCTCGCTTACACTAACTCATCTTAGAGGGAACACTGGACTGACTGTACAACTTTGTCCTCTTAAGATGCTGTGACTGGTGTACAATTGTGAACAATGTCCCCAGAGTACAGTCAATTACTGCTTACATTTTGCTTTCTGTAAACTAAAGAGCACCCAGTACATTACAACCAGAAATCCATACATTTTGCCCTTCGGGTCCTTTTTTTCCTCCTTACTTCAAGTCCGTTTAACCTTTTGGGATACAAAGTACCCCTTCTGTTTATTAAGAAAATACCGGTCCAGGGAGCCATTTTTGAGTGCTCTGGAGAGATATAGCCCTTCATGACAACCTGAAAACCATTTCTCAAAATCTGGAGAATATTCACCTCACCACAGAAAAATATGTTCTTAGGGTCGAAAAATACCTCAAGATCCAAAAACATTAGAAATTATTGTTAGGTGTTACTAGATGTTTTCCTTTAAAAAATTTTAAAGTTTATGTTACGTTTTCTAATATCTTAGGTTCAACGTATCGTTCTTGTTTCAAATTTTTAAAAGTATAGCTTTGTCAAATGGTTCTTCCATATTATTTAATATAGACAGGGGGAGGAGTGAGTTTATACCAAAAGAAACATTCTGCCTCGTGACACAGTGTTGTTGTTGTTGTTTTTTCCAAGGTCTGGATGTTTTGGTACTGCAAAACACAATGACTTTTGCCACCACAAACAGCAATGTCTTTGTGACAATTGTTCTATCCCAAGATGCATCAGAGATTTGGCTTGAAAAAGAAATATACCCCAAATACAACATAAGGGGGGTTTTTTGGTTACAGTGTTGCTTTTACACCCCACTGATTTCCATAGGATCGTCCTGAGCCCATGTTTCCTCAGGAGTAAGTTCCGTTAAAAAGGGGCTTACTCCCAGGGAGACATGAATAGGCCTGAAATCCTAGAAAGCAACTGGTTTGTGGTTCTTGAATTCAAACCCACCATTTTAGCCTGGAACTCTCCAGGTACCCCTCTTCCCATCCGTACAAAGTGAGTCATAATGAACTTAGAGTTTGACTTAAATAAACACACTGTTATGAAGCCTCTGCGGTAGGGCAATCTATAAATTAAATAACTAAAACACAAATCCTATGGGATCCATTGTTCGTGGGTTTTGAAAAGTTCCTTAGAAGTTCACTCATGCTTTATTGCTCAAAATAATTGTCAGCAAGAAAATGGGGCGGGGAGCGGGAATCAGTTGAAACAAAAGGCCTGAAACCTCAATACTCAAATAAATGACATTCCCTAATAGGAAACAGAAGGCACCTCTCTACACAGCAACTTCCCACATTACTAAATTTGTACCTTGGACATATTTACTATTTACTCGTGTGATGACACTTTAACTGTCATAGCTACCCCCCCCCCAAGAGAGCCCTGGTAATTACAATTTTTCTGAGGGTGCTGAGAATTCGTTGCAGTTTTCCATAGTTTCTTGGTTGAGAGCCACAACAGTTAAGCAACTTGGACACAGGCATGCTTTCTAATGTGCAACTGGAAATACAGGAGGAGGAGTATTGTTATTGCTTATGTTTGCCCATGTGGACATCACTAGTGAGCAAGCACACCAAAACCTAAGAGGAAAAGATGGTTCAGTATTTAAGGATTGAACCAGGCTTTGGTACTGATCTGTCAAAAATCACAGTACCTTCAGCAATCGTCATGAAAGTATAAATATTAAAGGACAAGCTGAACATCATTCCTGAACAATACTTCCTGATGTGGAAAACATGAATATTTCCCACATTTATTTATTTATTATTTAGATTTCTATCCCACCCTCCTCGAATGCTCAGGGCGGCTAACAGGGCATAATGCCAAATAAAACCATAAAACAGTATAAAATATTAAATTACATAACAATCAATAACAATTAATAACATCATAAAACATTTTTGGTGCTCCTCTATTCCAAGATGGTGTCCTCAATGTCCTAGCTAGGCAGCTGCAGCAGTGCATATTCCACTGCCTTGCAGTCCCCTAAAAAACGTCCTGTTCCCACCAATGATGCCCACATCAAGGTGGCCATATATGGAAGTCATAGGGCGTTGATGGTACAGTGGTGGTGGCGGCTCCTATTCGAAAGCCTGGCAGAAGAGCTCCATGAAGACTTATTTCTGAGTAAACAGACACAGAATCGGGCTACACAGCTGCAGTCCTCCACCACACTAGGAAGCCAGCCCCATGGCATTAGCAGGAAAGCAGGACTTTCAAAGAAATATGTTCAACATTGAGCTGAAACAGAAATTCTTGGCATTGCCTAGGTTATGACCAGAGGTTTTCCCCATATGGTTCAAGCCTTGGTGCAAATTCCAGGGAATCAAATCAAGGGAATCAGACTTAACGCTAGGGCACATTCTCAGGCCATCAGTGTTGCCCTGTCACATGCAATTCAGTCATTTTTCAGAGCCAAAAATATGAGGCTGTTGCGCTTACTCATAAGTAGATTCACACATGAAATGGCCACAGTTTGCCCTTCAAATTGTCTCATGTGCCTAATGTGAGGTTGCAGCTCCTCACACTGGAGGACTGAGGCAGGCATACATCAGGTATTGGACATTGGTAATAGATCCTCTTTCAAGAACCTTCTCCCTGCACCCCTCCTGCCACCCTAGTAGTGCTTCCCTGCCTTGGATATACCCCAGAAAGCAAAATGTGTGATGTGAGGTAGACGGCGTCACAAAAAAGGGTTTAGGGAAATGATGTTCATCAAATTGCCTTTTTTGATTAAAAGGTATGAAGGCACCCCTTGGGCACCTGCTTGGTGGTGGGAAGTTGGTTGTCCAACTCATTTGAGTTTGACAGCCCTAATACGGGCATACTTTGATGAAATAGTAGAATGAGTAGTGGGGGTGGGGGGGCGGGATGCATTGCTCAGCATCTCCTTTGCATGCAGAAGGTCCCAGGTTCAATCCCTGGCATTCGTAGTTTTAAAAGGATCTCTGGTGAGTCGCTGTCAGTCAGACTAGAGAATACTCTCCTGGCTAGAACACCAGTCTGACTCAATATAAGGCAGCTGCATGTGTGAGCATACCTTTCGCAAAGGTCATGACTAGTTTCTGCATGGCTCTACAAGGCAGGAGACAAGTATTGGGAATGGAACATATCCCTGTTACAGAATATTGACGCCAGGGGTCCCCAACCTTTCTGAGCCTGTGGGCACCTTTGGAATTCTGACATAGTGTGGTGGACGCAGCGCAGCCACATAATGCTCGCCACAACATGGCTGCTGCAATAGGCAGAGCCAGCCACAAAATGGCTGCTCCGGCTTACCTTTCGTGACACAGCGTGATCCTTCGGCTGTGGTGGCAGCTGGCGCCAAAGCAACGTTTTTAAAAAATCTGCACAGCCAATCACATCTCCAATGGTCAATCAGAAGCCTTGCCCGGCAGCCCTGACCTGGACAGCCCAGGCAAGCCCGATCTCAACAGATCTTGGAAGCTAAGCAGGGCCGACCCTGGCAAGTATTGGGATGGGAGACCTGCAAAGAATACCAGGGCCAGGAGGCAGGCTATCAAGCCACTTCTCTGAACGTCCTCTCCATGCCCCAGGAGGAGTCGCCAGAGGTTGCCATGACTTCCAGGCACGGGCACACACGCACACACAACACAAGAAAAAGAAAAGAAACCTTGCTGGGCAGAACCCTCCTTTGCCCTGCCCACTTTCTAAAAACACTGGGTGGGCACCAGGATTGGCAAGCACCACATTAGGGAGCCCTGATTTAAACTTTTAGCTTTAAAACTTAAAAAAAAATTCACACGTGGATTTTCTAGCTCTCAACTGATTAAAGGAATAGAGGCATCATAGAAGCATCTCCAGAAGCTGCTTCGCGCCCAGGAGGGAAGGGGGGCGCCATCACCGCATTTGCTTTGGCAAGTTATCCGAGCTGTCTGTGGTGCATATGTTGAAAGGCACACTGTAATCTGTAACTAACATGTACATGACTTTTGACATTTTTACAGGTTTTGTTACAAACTCAAGTAAAAATATATGCGTACCTGTGATCTCTCAAGTGATCTTGTCTTCTGAAGGCCTTGTGGCAAATGTCACACGTATACGGCCTTTCATCCGTGTGGGTTCTTTCGTGAATCAAAAGGTTATACGACTTGGTGAAGTGTCTGCCACAAAATTTGCACACAAATTCCTTCTTGGTTTTGGAAGGTAACCTCCCCCGGGTGGGTTTCTTCTCGGGAGAAAGCTTGGTCACCTCAAGCAATGAGCCTAAGCCTGGCGAGGAACCTTGGTTCTCGATCTGTCCGAGTTTCAAATGGTCCTCTTGGGTGGCTGCCACAGCAAGATTCGCAAAGTCAAACCTGGGCTTGGCTTTCAGCGGCACACCGCTGGCTTCTTGCTTGGGATGGATGACGTGAGGGAACAGAGGGAAGGCAGGTAACTGGAACCTGGCATCCACCAGGCTGGCCATGCCAGGCACTTTGGAGAAGGATGAACGGGGCAAATGCATGGCCGGATAGCCCAGGGTCCATTGGTGAAGGTGAACGGCGTGCAAAGCACTGAAGCCATAGAGATTTGGAAGGTGGTCCGAAGGCACTGCTGGCAGGCCGTTGAAGGCTTGCAGAAAGGAGTAGTTGGTGAGCTGCAGGGAAGGGTGGATGGGCACGGGTGCTGGCAGAGTCTTACTACCCATGGTAGTGAAGAAGCTTGAGGAGAGTGCCTACAGGAAAAAGAAAGCAGCAAATGTATGATTCCCGAGCTAAGAACAGGATAAGTAAATACAAGATGAGGTTCAGTACCCATAAGGGAAATCTTTCTACAATCACCACTTACAGTTCACTGAAGGCGTGGGAACAGAGGGAAGGTGTGCAACTGAAACCTGGCATCCACCACACTGGTCCCTCTGGGCACTTTGGAGAAAGACTCAGCAGGGCAAAAGCCAGCTGAGTGAGATCTAGGCTCAGGGGTCATTTCCTGCAGGAGCGCACAGGAGCGGAGCTCCAGCAGTAAAGTGCCCAGGGGGTGGGCACATGCAACAAGCCCCACCCCCTGCTCCCAGTAGCCCTCAGTCAGAGCAAGAAGCAGCCAGGTAAATTGCAGACCCCCCTCCCCCCGCCCCCCCCCCGGTCCAAAACAGTCCACTGGCACTTTTAAGACCAAGTTTTATTCAGGTACAAGCTCTCCCTCCTCTGCAAGGACAGATCTGCACGTCCCCCCCCCCCAATAGCTAGGAATCCAAAACAGTCCAGTGGAGCCTGAGCGGTGGGTGTTGCCTTCTGACGCACATCCGGTGATGTCAGGGGGTGTGGCATATGCAAATAAGTTATGCTAATGAGCTCTTGCACCTCTTTTTCTACGAAATGACCCCTGTCTAGGCTAATCCTGTCTCTTCTAGGGTTGCCAACCTCCAGGTGGTGCAACACTGGAGAGAGGTCACGGGATGGAAGGTGGAAGCAAGCAGAACAACCCGTGATGTATTATGCCAAAAAGAGATATCCACAAACGTATAAAATCTTATCCAAAATCCAGTTTACTTGGAGCAATTCAATTCCTCAAGAATCATTCATAGTGACGCCATCAACAGTGATGGTGTCACTATGAATGATTCTTGAGGACTTGAATTGCTCCAAGTAAACTGGATTTTGGATAAGATTTTATACGTTTGTGGATATTTCTTTTAGGCATAATACATCACGGGTTGTTCTGCTTGCTCCGACCTTCAGGTGGTGGCCGGAGACCTCTTGGAATGACAACTGCTCTCCAGGTGACAGAGATCAGTTCCCCTGGAGAAAATGGCTGTGTTGGAAGTGACTGAATGGGGAGCTCCTCTGTGAAAGCCAAAAGGCTTGTTCCAGGGTACCTCACCAACACCAGGATTTATAGTCCAGACACACTGTACACAAAATACCAGTCACCTCTGCTTGCCAACAACCTGGCAAAAAATGTCCTGCTTCTTTAACAGGCACTTGGACAGGCAATGCATTTCATGGCATAGCAATAAATAAGATGACCTAGTAAATAACACCCTATTAAGTCTCTGTTAAGTAGGGTTATTTGCCACCCTCCATGTGGTTGCTAGGGAGCTTCTGGGATTAAACTGATCTCCAGGCAGGTTTGCCAGCTCGTTTGGAAAATACCTGGAGATTTTAAAGAGATATTATGAGGACCGCCCTGGAGTTTTACCTGGTGATTGCCATCTCATTCTATTGTTTGTTTTAACTTGGTTTTTATCACATGTTTTTGCTATTTATTTATACCCTTGATTGTCGTGAGCCACCCTGAGCCCATTCTGGGATAGGGCACGATATAAACCTAATTAAATCAATAAATAAATTTTGGGGGTGGAGCCTGGAAAGGACACGGTTTGGGGAGGAAAGGGGCCTCAGCAGGGTATAATGCCATGGAATCCACCCTCCAAAGCAGCCATTTTCTCCAGGGGAACTGATCTTGGTCACCTATAGTGCAATTGTAATAGCAGGTGGCACCTGGAGGCTGGCAACCTCTTCTCCATGTGACAGAGATCAGTTCACCAAGAGATAACGACCACTTTGGAAGATGGACTCTATGGCATTATACCCCACTTAAGCCCCCCCCCCTCCCCAAAGCTCACCCTTCTCAGGCTCCACTGCAAAATTCTCCAGGTATTTCCCAACCCAGGGCTGGCAACCCTACTATTAAAAGGGAGGCACCACTTTTACCCCCAGGTTGTTGGCGACCCTACAGCCATTAGCGGGCCACCAGACTAACCATTTACCAGGCAGGGAGGCCAGAGGTAGGCTTCAGTGCAACTGTGCTTTATTTTTGCTGCCCCCAAAGTAGGCGCTGACTCAGGAACCGTCTGGGGTATTGGAATACTGGGGCAACATGAGTCACAATCCCCCCCCCCAAAAAAAACCCACCCCGGGATGCTGCCAGGCCCTCAGCAGCAGGTTTCTTTTCTGCCCCGTAGTTCAGAAACTGGCTCCATTCCCCCAGGCGAGGGGCAGGCCTGGGAATTATGCAGGCGCTCCGCAGACCCCAAGAACTAGCTTCTGCCAATGTTCCCTCTAAGCTGTAGAGTCCTGTGAGCAAAAATTCTACTTTGTGAGCTACCGGCATTAAAGTTGTTAGCAGGTGATTTGGCTACTGCATAAATTAGTGTGTTCTGGAGCCATCCTTCCTGAGCTGAGACAAAAATGTGTGAGCCGGAGGCTAAAAATCTGTGAGCTAGCTCACACTAACTCAGCTTAGAGGGAACACTGCTTCTGCCCCCTGGAAAACATTCCCGCTCTTTTCATTGGCGCTTTACTTTTACCGGGAGCCAATGGGAGTTCTCCCAGGCTCCCACTCTCTCGCGCTGCAGTGTGAAAAGTGCGGGGAGTTTCAGCGGGAGCCCAATATCCGTGCCAGAGGAACGTTTCTCGCGAGAACACAAGAAAACGCCGGATTCAAAACCTGCAGGTTTCGCCGGCAGCCGCCGCCTCGAAAGAAAACTCCGCTTTGTTCGCTCGCCTGACCTGCGGCCGCCTCAACTTTGACCCCCAATTTGCTTTAGGAAAGCAAAGAACACGGATTTAGCCGCGCTGACTTCAAAGACCGGCCTCTCTGTCGGGGCCTCCTTGCCTGCCTGCCTGCCTGCCTGCCTGCAGTTTAACCGGGGAAAAGGGCCGGCCGGTTTGCCCCTACGCCAAGCCCTGCACGGGAATGGCAGCCGTTCTTAACATAAGCGTGTGAAACACGGGAGGGGGGGAGATCTCGTTCTTTCCATTGCATTTGGGATCAAGAAAGGAGAAGGGTTATTTAGAATTTTCGGAGGAAGGGGAGCCGAAAACTGTGGAGGAGCCACGATCCTGAAAGAGACCAGGGGGTAGGGTTGCCAGCCTCCAGGTGGGACCTGGAGATCTCCTGCTTTTACAACTGATCTCCAGCTGACAGAGATCAGCTCCCCTGGAGAAAATGGATGCTTTGAAGGGTGGACTCTATGGCATTCTATCATGCTGAAGCCCCTCCCCTCCCCCAAACCCGTCTTCTCCTGGCTCCACCCCCAAAATCTCCAGGTATTTTCCAACCCAGACCTGGCAACCCTACCAGGGGGCGACTTGATCACAGGATTTCCACAATTGCCTGTATGAGGGAAGAAGATCTTGTGCACAGGAGCCGAAATTCCAACGTCAGTGGAGTGACCCTGTCCCTCTTCTGCAGCTAAAACCCGCGGGAGTCTGGGGGCACCTTGAAGACAGACACCTTCCAGCACAAACTTCAGGGGATTCGGCTCCGGTTTATTGCACAGGTTTCCCACGGCCTCTCCCAGGGAAGGTTTTTTATTAAAAATAAAAATTAACAGGTGCCGTCCCCTTCATTAGGTCTGCATTTTACATCATGGCATTTCTCCTTGTAGTTCTGCATTTCCTGACGCACCCCTTGATCATGGGTTTTATTTTTCAGGAAGAGCCACTCCTTGGCTGTGGTCTAAATAACACTAAATAATCCACTTCCAATCCTCTTTCAGTACATTTTCGAACTGGATTTTGCTGTGTGAATCGGCAAAACCCAGTTGGAAAGTGCATTGAAAGTGGATTATTTAGTGTGTGTGATCACAGCCCTTGCCTCTGAAGAAGAGGGGGCTAATCCAGGAAAGCTCATGCTGGAATAAAATGTTGCTAGTCTTCAGTGGTCCTTTGTGAATCAATGTCAACGCTGTCAGTGGTTTAACGGCATCTTTTGCTGGACAACAGGCACCGACGCCAAGACACAGCGACTGCAGGCAAATTTCCCTCGTCCCGTTTTATAAACAAAGCGAAAAGCCGGGTCGGGCGGTCCGAATTCCCTCTGCGCCAGCAGTCGACCTTGCTTTTTAAAGAGGCTCCAAGAGAAATATCTGTAGAAACGCGTCGGATTTTTCTCGGTGACCTACGGTTAGGCGAGGAACTAGTTGACCCATCAAGACTAAGAACATTTGAGGCATCCCCCCCAAAAAAAGTCCTATCAAGGGTTAGAAGAGCACTGGTGCACCCGTGGGAGTCTATAAACCCGGCTCTTCCGTTGACACGAACAGGCTTTCGTTTTCGGTCACATCCTGCCTCCAGACCTGTTGGGGTGACAGCCCGAAGAGATTGGGGGGGGGGGGGAGAGACTGACTAACTTTATTCATATAACCTGATTTTTGTCTGAGATTGTACAGAGCTTTACTCCCATATACTCTCCAGCAATGCTTAACTATTGGACTCCAGTCCTGCACATAGGCAACGTACAAGACAAGGCAAACTACATCACTTTGCAGCCAGAGACAGTATTCGCCTCTTGTTGCAGAGGGGAGCCGCGCCGGTCTGCCGTGGAACAGCTAGGTCTGAGCACCTTCGAGAGACCAGCCAGATGTTCCGAGCGTCCGCTTGCCAGACTCAACGCTCTCGGCGTCAGGTACGACGGGACTCGAATCTAGCTATTGGCCTCTCTTTATCCTTTCCCCAGTTGCGGGCTTGTCGCTTGCATCATGCGTGCTACGTCATGACGCCGTTTGTGACGTCATAGCATGCATTCCCTTCAGTACCCGAGTTGATTGGAACATGATTCCGATCCCCGGGGCGGCAGCCGTCTTTTGCGCCAACCTGGTCGGCGGCAGCGCTTTAGAAACAAAGGCGGCTTCTCATCTCCTGTCTTGTTTCCACGCAGCGGCCAGAGTTTGATTTTTTAAAAGCTGCCCAACGAGTTTTGAAAAGGGAGATCTGGCAACGTAGAAGG